TCTGGAAAGTAGACCACTTGTGGATGGAGGACAGAAAAGACTGGATAACAGAACAAGAAGCTAGTGCCCAACTGAAAGGCTGCCACAGACGAGAGATCAATCTCCAAYACATACTCAACTGTATCCCTCAAGAATGGRAAGATATCCTGGTAAAGGATGAGACCTGGAGACCGGGCGATTGGGGTCTCTTGATTCAAGACTCAACCCCCACTAGAGCCTACCAATTCTCTCACATGCAACAAGGCTCTCATACCAGAGCCACTTTTCTCTCATTCCCAATCTCCTCCTCCAAGATGGACAGGCCAACCATTTTCAACGACAATGTAGAACCAGCTATATTGGAATCTTTCCTCCTAAGAAAAGTAAGGGTCCTAGGCTCATGGCCAAAGGAAATTTTCAGACCAGACACGACAATCCGATCCCTGGAATTCGACCCAGCAGAGTGGGCCTGGAAGCCAAAAGCCACCAGCAATTTCAAATCAAAAATCCCGATCCAGGACTACTCAGTTAAACTCGGGTACAGACTCTCCCTGAAGACCAAAAACCCAGATCCAATCATTAAAAACAGATGGCGGAACCTCGTGGGCCAAGAAGCTGACAAAATCACGCAAATACACTGGGCAAAATTTAAACGCATCAGACCAATCAAGATCAGAAGCATGCAATSGCTGATTGTATATGCAGCCCTACCAGTGAATCAATGGCTACACATTAGACGGAAAACCACAGACCCAGACAGTTCAGAATTATTTACAGTCTGTAATGAAGGCTCGGTAGAAGATATAGTCCACTGCCTAATCCTCTGTAAAGAAGCAACCGCATACTGGGCGAAAGCGTCTTCACTCTGGGCCTCCCTCTTCTCATCTCCCTTCCCCAAACAACCCATTCAACTGCTCCTCTTGACTAACATCCCTGTTCAGGCTCGGAAAGCTGAGAAGACTTGGTTTGAACTCATCAGAAAGGTGACCCTATGGGTCATATGGAAGGAGAGATGCAGTAGAACAATTGAAGGACTCTCCAACCCACGGGAAAAAGTGTGGATAGAAACTAAGACAATGATTCAAGCCGAGATACTGTGCAGATGGCGGAAGATCAAGCGAGCCTGGTCCGAGGACGAAGAGCAGCATAACAAGGAAAGGCAGAGATTCTATAGGACCTGGCTGGTGGAGGGCAAGATTGGAGAGCTGCGACAGGACCTGGTATGCTGCAAAGAATGGCATAATTCAAGTCCTGGAAGGGGTGCCCAACGTCAGACGTCGCCAGAAGGCTAAASTTCCCTTAGGCTACAAGAGATCCTACATGTCCCAGGGGATACAGACGAAGAGGAAAAAGAGCTCAAGCCTGGCAACACCGGAACGTCTTCAGGGGTCACCAAGGAGGATCCCATTTCAGAGATCCGAAAGCCTACTAACATTTGCCAAGACCTAATTKGGTTGATTTTGATCCAATTGATAAAGATCCAAGGGGCACAGACAAAGAAGGGAAGTGTGAGAAGGGAGGAAAAGTCGGAGAAGGAATAGAAAAGGCACATGAATGGGGGTTGCTGAGGAGGTTCGGTCACAGTGGTCGGGAAATAAACGGAATTCGGTCAGCGCCCAAGGTCGACATTTCAGAAGATAGGAGCACTGGTGGAGGGTTTAGGGTTTAAGGAGGTCTGATTTTTCACACCAAGGAACGGGGAGGAGGGCGATGAATGGAACAGGTCGGCATGGACAAAGGATGAACTCTTCCTAGGGGCAAAGATGCTATCTGGCAGATCTGGACATCAGGTCTGAGAGGGAAGAAAGGGGCAGGGCAAGCTGACAGTCAATCCTCCAGTACGGTGGAGTAATCAATGCTGTTCAGGGGTCCTTCGGCCAGACGGAAGGAAGCGTTTGTGAGTTCTCATTGATGTAACATGTATTTTGACTTGCCGGTGGAATAGGAACCGGACTGATGCTCCCCAGAACAGAAGGAGCTAGGACCATAAGGTCCTGTTTTGTTAAAAAAAAAAAAA